CCCCAAAACCCCAAAACCCCAAAACCCCAAAACCCCATAAATTTATCTAAAATAGTAATAAATTAACTTCAAATGGGAGCAGGTGAAAGTAACCTAGTGGTGAGCCATTTCTGGTCGGCTGAAACTAATCAAGATTTAGGATGAAAACGGTGAAAAATTATCAAAAGAGCAAATCAAGGAACATAAGAAACAGCAGAAGGAAGCAAAGAAAGCAGAGAAATTAGCTAAGAAAGAAGCAAAGAAAGCTGAAAAGCAAGCTAAGAAGGAGCAAAAATAAGGATCTTAGGAAAAGTGAGTCTACTACGAAGGTTTTTGTTGGAGGGAATAACCATTTAAAACCTGAAAATTCGAGCAAAACTCACAGAGTTATGGGACACCTTGGTCTATTGAAAAGGAAAATTAATGATGACTCCACCTTTGGTGCAAAATTACACGATCGTTCATCAAGATTTGACAGAGATGCCATGAGCTCACGAATTAGTGGAAGAAATAGGTCTACTAGTGGGAGTCCTGGACAATATAATCCAAAAGCTGTAGGAATTAACAGCCCAAATTATATTGAAGAGAAAAGGAAGATATATGGCCAATACCATGCAAGTCCAGGGAGTATATCAATCAAAGACAGTCCTCATTACCATAAAACTCCTCGGCAGCTAGCTGTATATCACACTGAGCCACTCACAGAAGCTCCTCCATCAAATTTCAAGCTGGTCTCTTGACCTAACTGTGGAAGAAATTTTAATAAAAGTAGGAATTTCTTTCTAATCTTCATCTGGGTGATCATCACAGTAAATTTTAATATTCTCTAGACAATCTAGCCAGACATGAAGCTCATTGCCAAAAGAATGCTCAGAAGAAAACAAAAGTGTTTAACTCTAAAAAGCAAAGAGCCGTTACTGAAGATGAAGAGGAAGCTGTCACTTGGCAAGAGAAACAGAAGAAGAAAAAGTAAGCTTCCTCTAACTCTTTAGGATGAATAATGCAATGGGCATCGCTCAAGACTATAGCACTGCAGATGAGCCAACTGCCGTGGTTAGATACAAAATGTGTCCTATCTGTAAAACCAAACAAAACACTGGTGGGTTTGAGCTCCATTTTGAAGAATGAAATCAGAGGAAAATGAGGATGGAGCAAAGAAAGCTCCAAAGACAGTTAGGACCAAGACAGTTGCTCAGATCTAAGAAGGAAGTTTTGTTCTAGATAATTAACAATTTTCAATTCTTATCTCCTGACCTGGGGTTTTGGGGTTTTGGGGTTTTGGGGTTTTGGGG